AATTAGAGACGGAAATAAAAGTCATAAATTTTACAATAACGACAAATAGAAATCAAAGCAGGTCACGATTAGTCACACGCCCATGGAATACAGTAGAATAAAACATATCCTGAATCGCCTAGAACTTGTCTATAATATATCAAGTTTACATGTGTAATTCAATGTTCTTCCGAAGTCAGATTCTTTTGATCTGAAGGAAATTGATACTGTGCGGGTTTTAATTCTGGTCAGAGATAAGGTATCGTCTGAAGTGTGTGTGACATGACAACGTAAAATATCGTCTCATCCTTAGAGGAGCCTGAAAAATATTGAGAAATGAGAGAAAAACACGTGTTTTATTTCAGGAAATAAACAAGACATATTGCTGCTATATTTTGATTAAACTAGCGCATACGTATATCCTAATACTTCTTCTCGTTTATATATTGTGTCCTAACGTTGTGCTTACTCGACACACACAACGTAAATCAGAAGACACTTGAGAAGGTGTAGGAATGTGTATTCTCGCCGTAATCAAAATTCGAAACTTGAGCGAGTACAATTGTATCAATTGTTAACACGCAAGATTTAGAGTAATAACATCAAATAATACAATATAGTGCGAATAGTAGTAAAATGGATCACTACAATATAAATAAGGCAGACCAACGTTAGCAATGTTCTGCTCAGGCAACTATAACATGGCTTTGAAATCCTTCATGTAATTCCGATATGTTACCATATTATTTCATGGGTGATTATACGGAATATCCCATTTTTCAGGTGGCACTGCCTGCTTTATCCGGTGGGTATTAGAGCGTTTCAATAAGTAGGTCAAGTATACTAGCATGATTTCATTAAAATTCAAAAATAAGCATTTAACTTTTGAACTTACTGCCTCCTTTAATCTATTGCAAATTGCAGATATTAGTATTAAGGGACATTTTTTGATACAAGTGCTTAAAATGTAACGCGAACCAAGTACATTACGCCTCCAATATTATATACATCAGAAATATTTTTAATGCAAAATTTCATTTAAAAAACATATCAGAAACATGACTTGTCACTAAACCAGCATAGCAACGGATATCGACGCTACAGTTAGCGGGGATATGCAATAAAGCCACTCACACAATACACATATTCATGAAAATAATGAGTTAAAAGGTACGATGAAAAAATACCTCTTAGTTTTGGAGTGGAGTATCAACAGAGTAATATAACCACATTCTATGCATGTAATTACCTAGGTCTTCTAACACTAACAATAACCCTAATCTGACTGAACCAACCCTAATGTCACCCTCATCAGGATAACCTAACCGGCCAAGTTAAACTTCAAGCACTACTAAATACCGATGGAGTGCGGACACTCCATTGACTTTAATTAGTCCAGTGAGATTTATTCACGTGAGTTGAAGCTTCTATTCGGCTTGATTCGAGTCAAATACGTGCTCTAACGCAGTTGTGTTTGCAATTTGGTGAGGATCAAGTTTTCAGGTATTGCTTATATATGGGTTTCATCAGGAAAGAAAGGATTTGTTCATGTGGAGTGTTTTTTTTTATTTTTTTATTATATCTTGATTCCACGCAGTATTTTGGTACAAGTATAGAATTCTCAGCATGTGATATCAGTAGCCCAACTTTAGCAGACCGACCATTGATATCAGGTGTGCGTCGGGCGTGGATCGAACCTCGGACCATGAGCGTCGTCGGCGAGCGTCCTAACCGCTGTGCCACCGACACACACAAAAAAGCTTCAACAGGTCGGTTGATGCATATGTGCATCGTTGTGCAATTTGTTTGAGACGAATTAGTGTCAGGGAAGGTAAGCTGATGTTTCTAATACATCGTAGGAACATATGAAATCTCGGCAAAGTGAAACTTTAGGCACCATTAATTGCCAATCAGCGAATGATCGTGAACACACCAATCACACCAAGGAGGTTTAGAGGCTGAAGGTACTGACGTTCACAGATAGTAAGAAGTATACTAACGCAAGATCTAATACCCACAACTTCTATAGTATTCGTTCCGCGTAGACCAAAGACAAAGCAAAACACAAGAATTGATCGTCCAAATTACGAGATATATTTCGGGACCAAACTGGAGTGCGAGATGATTGCTTAGCTAGCTAGGGATCGTGCAAAAACGAACGAACATGACACGACGGATTGCCAAATGGCGTGGATGCTTGACGCCTCCAGCTAAACAAGTTGACTTAAACAGTGAGGACCAGCATCTAATGTTCAGTGATGAATGCTGTGGCCAATAATTCTAGGGAATTACCTTCCGCTACAGAGGCATTTTTGTATATGGAATACATATATTTATGAAAACAATGCACAAAAACTGTATAAAAGTGTCACATGTGATAAAAACACCTCCCAGTTTAGCATAAGAGTATCAATGTAAAAGTTACACCACATCCCGTGCATATATTCATCTAAATGATTATAAATGACATCTCTTTGTGATCCATAAACGGATCTAATCCTGTTTCTTAACCTTCGCCAAAGGCATCAGTGGAATTGGTGTGGGTCCATGTAGTGTAAATAATATCGTAATCATGAGTAAAATATGCCCAATGAATTGTTATATTATTAAATGGGATATGTGGCAAGTTTCGGGTTAGGTATGGGAAAGATGAAGTTACGGTTAAACCTAAGGACAGGTTATGGTTAGGTGGCTTTCACTGAGCGTTTCAAAGTAATTAGTGTGGTCGCATTGCTCTGGTAGTTACTGGTGCCTAAAGTTTAACATGGCCAAGGAGCTTTCCATTGTGAATTCATGGCATAAAACACTGCATCACATAGCTGTTGAGTGGAGTTTGTAAATCTTCGCGGTACTGCACTTTGAGTTGTTCAGGTATTTTCCAAATTGCTTCGCGGTCGACGTTGCCATGGCCTTTTAAATGCCGAAGCAGTTGATTTTGAATTTGACTTCCATCTCACTCTCTGTTTGACTATGGTGTGCAGTGCTACAATTCGGTGGGAATAATTTGTTTTTTTCTGAATCCAGCCTGTTCCGGGTGAAGTCTTCTTTTTCAGGCCAACTATTCTCCAAATCAAATCTACTTATTTGACATGAACTAGAAGTAGTTAAGCAGCCACACCAGAAGAATTGGACTGACCATAATACGAGATACACTTCAGGACCGAAGTCGCTGGGCCGGCAAACATACTTAGTGAGACACAGATGATTCCACATCCACCGAAAGTAACAAGACAGCATACAAATAGCATACTTGCTTGACTACATACCTTCAGCTGAACTATGGGACTCAGAATTTAAGGGTCAGTACCTAATGTGGGATGATAATGAATCTGCAGGTCACTAATTTTGAGGGAATTACCATTATATGGTGTTTCCATAGCTATCCGCACATATATTGAGGTTGTATAGTGAACGATGTTTTGTAACATGCAAGGCATCAGTGAAGGCAAACCAAGATACAACTTTATGAATCTTCAAGATTTCCTTAGGTTTGGACAACATACATGCTTCTAGTCTTCACTTATCCCGAATAAAAATGATTATCAAAGCAGAGTTGTGCTGGCGTGTTGGAACTAAAACATGTAAACAATTCAAATAGTCAGTAAAATTGCTGTGAGAGGGGGTTTATACTACTTGGGTGAGAGCACCGACAATTAAGAACTTCTGCTGATATCCAGTAGGTCCAACGACTATATTACAAATGTATTCCGGCCACATCAAAAAGCCATAAAATCCCATTACCATTTCGGATACGGCAACTCAATATTCTGTTATAACGATTTCATACTTTGATGTGCCATATTTTGCGTTCATTTCTACTGTGCGCTTATTGCCAAATAATAGAAAATTGAACTGATACACTATACACTAAGGAGTTACCTCCAAAATGAGTTTACTTCTCCTATTATGACCCCATGATATGAGAGAACAGAGGAGGTCAGTTGCAATTCGAATTTCTTGATGTGGTCGGTATTTGCACTGTCTTAAGTGACTTTGTACTGCGCATTTTAAAGATTACTGCAATCACTTCCAGCAATAAAATTGATTTTTTCTTAAATGTTTTATCTATTTATACACGTCTGGATTATCTGATGCGCTATGTGCCATACAATGCGCTACAATACCCAGCAGTGGTTTTCACCCACAGTCTCATTGTAACAAGAAGAGCAGCAGGCGCACAGATAATGAAAGCAGAACACAAGCTGTGCAGAGAACGTTTATTCAACAATCACTAATTTTAAAAAGTGCGGGGATCCAGTTTTACAGTTTATTAGCCTTTCTTGTCTTCGTTAAGGTTTAGAATTTGCAGTTGTTGTATCTCTTGATTCATATAGTTGAGTTCCAGGTGTCTACCTGCAAGGGAAGAAAATGAAACATTAGTGTTGATTATATAGGTTTTTTCTTACTTCATCATTAGCCAAAGCCCACTGTATGAACTTCCCACTAGGGTGAGCCATTTTCGGTGTATCACAAAGAAGTTCGGCTACATGGTTGTTGGAAAATGTTTCACTTCCTAAAGTCATGTATGAAATGAGATTTTACAGCTTCTGAGGATGAGATCACTGAAAAGATGTCTTGAATGAGCATCTTGGTCGTTTCCTTTTTGCGGTAGCTTTCATTATTCCAGTTAAATAAGTTCGTATTTTCTGCCTGCAACATCACCACACTTCCATTAGAAGAACCATTTTCTTTATTTGACTCCTGAATTTTGTTGTATCCTTTTTTGCTGTCACAGTCATCACTCCTATCAGCCTGTTAGTTCTATCGTTCAAAATGAAAGACCATATATAAATGCAATTCACAGTGACTATAGCAGCTGCTTGTTCCACGCATCAACCATAAGCTTCCTTCGAAACCTAGGCAAACTTCCGTTGGAAGGACACGCTACACACAGTACTGACCAGGTGTAAATGCATCAAAGAGAGCTTTACTATCAAAAACTGTGCGAACAGAATTAAAAATGATTTAAAATACTTTGCACTTGACATATTGAGCCTTCAATAAAAACGCGGCTTCTTTAAAAGTAACTTTGCGTGTTCAATATCGTATGTGTTTTCGTGAGCTTGCATTTTTTCAATATTACCGATTTTGTAGTCCCGAAACCACGCTTTCTAGTAGTAATAACTTTTCCGCTACTTTGACTTAGCCTGTGGAATAATAATCTTTTATGTTGAGGGGTGAAAAAGGTTTGAATTTGATTTGTAGCATTATTCTTCTAAAGGCATTATGAGTAAATATATATGTATGTATATAAGGACATGTATATGGATACTGTGTTTCATTTTCAATTTTCATGTCTCAGCTTCGGTCGTGAGCCTCATTGTTACGACTTCACGGGTATATATGTTATACAAACTTTCTGCAATGCGCCCGAAAAAAAGGCTAGCTGGGCAGTACCAGCTGAAGTCATTATTGACTTCGTACGCACTACAGAAAGTTTGGAGAAAACTACAAATAAATGTCTCATGTTCTGAAGTGCTCCCAAAGAAAGTGCTAGCTGGGATTGGTGATAAAATTTTGATTTCTGCATTTTAAAATCAAGAAATTGTGCGTCAGTAATTCTAGTTGCAAAGAGAGTTCCGTTTGTAATCATATGCTTACCTCATCCAGTATTTTTGGGGGCACGAATTCGCGGCTTAGTGATGGAAAGCTTTTTTGATGCCGATGTGTTTTGAATACTTAACGGCATTATTGTTTCCTTCTATCTCTAGACGCTAAATTCATGTTTTCTTGTGTGTACTTCCGTATCATCTGAAGCACTTCTATGAACTATATGAGAGTGTGGAAGCAGTTTCAAGGAAGTGAATGGTGTCAATATTAAGTAAATCTCTAACAATTAAGCAGCTGAACTAAAAATGATCTGTCATAGTACCCACTTGATCAATAGTATTTATAACCTCTTAGCTCGTATTTCAACACGTAATACATGTTTTAGCATTGTGTATTATTTATTTGTCACTGAAAGTGTTACTGCTTGCGTTCATCACATGCAAAATATGTCTTGTGTTAAATGAAACTGTGCCAATCTTCAGGTAAATTCTTTTTTACGTTGTTTCATGAAATTCGAAAATATTAGGGTACTATTTAAAGTTCTATATAGCCATACTTAGTTCTACAAATCACTTTAGTGGAACCTTTTTTCATAGAAACTGGTAAAGAAAATATGCATCTTATCGTGTCGCCTAAATTTTGATACTGGACTGTTGTCTATACATGTGTACATTTAAGTTTCTATATCCCTTTCTAAATTACCGTTTTCAATTTCAGACCCTTGTTTTTAAAGAATATACATATAATTAGCTGCTTATTTTGTGTATTATAGTCCGGTGGCACATTACTGTTATCAGAAAGCCTTTGGAAATAAATTTTCACCATGAGTTATGCGAGAATAGGATCCCACTTTGGGGTAATACAACCCCTTTTCACAGGTACTGCACATTTTCGATTCATATTCTGTTACTTACTTACTTGTCTGAATGTTTACAAGATTTACCATAAGTTCATTCTCACTTGTACAAATATTTCACTATTTTTGATAACAGCCCAGCAGAACCATTAGAAGACAGCCATAAGAAGTTTTGGTTAATACATGATAACTATGAATATTGTATAGCCACTAGATATTTCAGATTTCACGGTTGCTTGACACTTAGTAATCAATCTCTAGGAATCCTAAGGTTATCAGCTAACTGTCATTTTGGTCATCAAATGTTTACTAGACACGGTCGTATTTTTTTCATGCTCAACTATTTTTTACTAAACAAAAGCTTTATAAAAGCTTTATATTGCAGGATTATGTAGTTAATTTGCTTTTGTAGACTTTCCAGCACTGAGTAAATCAATAAAAGTCTCACAAAAGTCAAAACTTTTATTACTGTAGCATCATAACTTATTAGTGATGTTTTACACATATTGACTTTTTTGAAGTTAAGAGGATGATGCCTAGCATGCTAGTGGTTGTTTACGCTTTCACGGCTTTGGACAGCTCATTTAGGGTATCCACATCGTACACTATACGATTTTGGTGTTTCATTAACTTTTATCGTAAATTATATTTCATACCTTTTTTTAAATGAACAGTAAATTTCTCCAAAAATGTTTTCTACATTCATTTACAACAGATTATTACGAACTGACAATGTCATATGGCTATTGGAAAGCAGGAAAAACTAATGATCTAGCAACATTTGAATTATTTTTTCGCAAAAATCCATTCAATGGAGAATTTACCATGTTTGCTGGTCTTCGAGATTGTGTCGACTATTTAAGTTCATTTAAATTCACTAAAGAAGGTAAATAAGTCATTTTTACCAAGCAGATTAAAAATGTTGTTTCTGCCTTTTTTTTATAATACTTCTCCCAATTTAGTTATCTGCCTCTCGATCACTCATTTGGAATCGTCAACAAGCGAAGTGATAACCTGATAAATTTATTAAGATCCATTACACATGTATATATTTATGTCCAGGTCCTTGGAGTGACTGATTTCTTAAGGCCTTTACGGTATTATAGCGAATAGCAGTGTTGTATCAGTTACCATTTCAGCCACATTCTAAACTTGGTCAGAGGGTTTCATTCATCAAGGACTTAACATCACGTTAGTAAGCAACGTACTGCCAGTTTGGGAATCCCGGTATTAATTAATACACTGGTTAACGTGGATATTGCTACTAATTTTTGTGTGATGTTTGAGACCGGTAGACTTGGAGAGAATTGAAAAAGAACAACAGAGGCGAGATCTGCGAAGACCACACGAGACTTCTCGTTGACTTAGAATATGCAGACGATATAGTCCTTCTAGGCGAGGATGCTGACAAAATGCAGAGTCTTCTGAACACCTTGAGCTGCAATCTACGAATGTTTGGCATGCGATTCGCTCCCGCCAAATGCAAGATGATGTTACAGGACTGGACTACACCGACTCCTAGATTAGAAATAGGAAGTGAAGTGGTAGAGCACGTTGACCGCTTCACTTACTCGGGAAGTACCATCAGCCCCAACGGGTTGAACTCTGACGAAATGTCAGCACGGATACAGAGGGCTAGTTTCGCATATGCCAGTTTACGCCGTCTCTGGCGTAGATGTGATATCCGACTATCCATCAAAGGGCGTGTGTACTGCTCAGCAGTCCACTCCGTCCTCCTTTATGGCTGTGAGACCTGGCCATTGAGAGCGGAAGACATGAAAAGATCAGCTGTCTTCGATCATAGGTGTCTGCGTTCTATCTCCCGTGTGAAGTGGTATAATAAGGTGAGCAATATTGAGGTTAGGCGTCGAGTGCTAGGTAAGGCGGGGAAATCAGTTGACGAGACTGTGAAATTACATCGACTGAGATGGTTAGGACATGTGTTACGTATGCCTAGTCATCGCCTTCCTCGACGGGCAATGTTAGCTGACATAGGGTCAGGCTGGAAAAGAGCTAGCGGTGGTCAAACGAAAACATGGCACCAGTCAATGAAATCCACAACAGTTAGTCTAAGCCACGTAGGAAGGTGTAGACTTCCTGGTTGGGGTCCTCGGGACGGTAAAAACCAATGGTTGGAAACAATTGGTGACATGGCTCAAAATCGTTCTCAATGGCTGGTGCAGATGCATCCACTCCTTGTGACTTATGATTTCAAATGAAACTATATCGTTCTTCGTTATTACTATTCCTTTGTCTCACACCTCTGTTTACTGTCTCTAATATGCATTTCTCCTACTTTCTTCTCTTGCTTTGTGTGCTACAAAGAGGGAGTGTGGCGACTTGAACTGCCGCACATATGTGCAAAGTTCTATGTCGAAAACAGACAGACAGACATTTGATCTAACTGGTTAGATTCATTTCCAGAATCAGGTGATAAATTCACTAATTCCAATGCTTTTTCTAATCATACTTCTGGATATAACGAAAAAGCTTTGTATCGAAATGACATAAGATGAAGGCTTGTTTATATAACAAGACGTGTACAGTGAACAAAAGAAGGGTCATATCATGATTGTATGAAGCAGCATATATCATCATCATCATCACGCACAAAGAATGTCATAATCAATAGTCAAAATATTTACTTTTTATTAGTCTCATACTTTTAAATATATATATAAATATTGTCGGTTTATTGACATTTAACTTATCACTTTTTGCAAAACCACTATCTAAATATGCTAAATAAAATCACGTATTTATTCTCAGAGGTTTATACTATTCCTTGCCAGCTTTGTTTACCACAAACAATTGTGCATAACGCGTCGAAAAGTACTACATTTTTCAGCTGCAGCTTCTAGGTGTATTCTTTATCTCGAAAAGAGACCTCTTCCAGTAAATAAATTCTTTTGTTTTCAGATTCTACTGTCGTAGTTGATTGTTCTAGTTAACTCTACAAGGAGATAGTTTTACAACTGCGGAAATTTCCTCTGTAGTTCTCTAGTCATGAGTTGGCATTTTTGTTTCCAAACTGATAGCAAGTTCCTTTGACTAATTCCAGGCATGCATAGAAACTCACTTGTAGTAGTGACATTTGGTTTGGATGTATACTAAGCTCTCTGGCTTGCTAAACTTGTTATAAACTTAGAAGGAGCTAAATTTTATTGATTATTAGTAATATTATATATATTATTATTGTTCCCTTGGGTTCCTAGTGGAACATAGGGCTTCAACTGCACGCCTCCACTTGATTCTGTCTTCTGCTGTACTTTTCACTTGCATCCATGTTAGTCCATGCTGTTTCAACTCTTCTTCACACGATTTCCTCCATGTCACCCTTGGACGTCCCACTCGCCGCTTCCCTTCCGGGTTCCACTCGAGCGGCCTGACGCGCGATGTCACCCAGCGGTCTCCTCAGTGAGTGTCCAATCCATCTCCACTTTCTCCTGCATATTTGTTGCGCGATTGGTTCTTGTTTTGTTTGTTTGTTCCCATAGTTTCTTGTTGGTGATTCTTTCCGGCCATCTGATCTTCAGTATAGAGCGAAGACAGTTAGTTGTTGATAAAGGTCTGCAACAGGCTGTTGGAAATATTCTTTGTGACCCGCCAAGTTTCTGATCCGTATAGAAGAACTGACTTGACGTTTGTATTGAAAATCCGAATTTTGTTGTTGATGCTGAGTGACAGGAAGATTTCCAGACTGCTTTCAGGTTGATGAATGTGTTTCTCGCCTTCCCGATTCTCGATTTGACATCTTCGTCCGTTCCTCCTGTAGTTGAGACAATGCTCCCCAGATAAGTGAATGAAGTAACCTCTTTCAAATCCCTCCCGTTGATGGTGATTGGCGCTGGATGTTGCTGTTGCTGTTGTTGTTGGTTGGTTATTTTCATAACCTCCGTCTTGTCTATGTTCACCTGCAGTCCTGTCTTTGCTGCTTCTTCGACCAGTTTGTCGGTTTTTGCTTGTAAGTCTTCGATTTTGTGTGACATCAAACATAAATCATCCGCAAAATCCAGGTCTTCTAGGTTCTTCACGTTGGTCCAGGATATCCCTGTCTTCTCGTTTCCCACTGTCTGACGCATAATCCAGTCCACCACAATTAGGAACATCACTGGTGATAATAAGCACCCTTGTCTGACTCCTGTGTTTACTCCAAACGCCTCACTGAGTTTTCCGTTGTGGATCACAGTGGTTATTCACTTAATGAGCTACAAACATTTGAGACGGTTCGGAATTTCATTGATACCTTTCAGTAGGGTTTCAACTCATATTCTGTGTACTCCTTAAAAAACTATGATGATTTCGGCGAACAAACTTGGGCTTTATTTTCAGTGGAACATTGTTTATTCACCTGCTAACTTCATGTTTCTATTATTAGTTTAGGACATTTAAGAAAAAATTCTTTTTGTCATTTTTGTACCCTTCGCGCTTCTAACAGTTTTGTCCGAATTTGAGGGTCTAACTTACTTTTGTTGTAGTATCTTTCTGGATTAGTCTGTTATTTAGGCCATATTGACAGTACAGTTTCCGAGGCTATGGTTAAAAGACTTGAAGGAATCAGATAAAAAAGGCATTCAATCAAGCATCTTGTTAGTAAGATGAATAAACAAGTAAGTTAGCCTAAGTTTGTTTTAATCTACTTATATGTTGTTTTTTTGGTCAAAGAATAAATGAATTCAGTGAATAAATAAAGTGTTTTATTTTCAGGGTTTCTCTTTCTTATTTTTATTTTTTTGTTTTATTTTATCGCTGTCAGATATTGACTATTTGAAAACAATTATGCCGTCAACTGTAGAGCCTGATTTCTTTGACTATTTACTGAATATTGATGCGAGTGAATTATCCTTATGGTCAGTTGAAGAATGCTCTGTAGTATTTCCAAAAGTGCCTATTATGCGTATTGAAGGACCTATAATATTATGCCAAATTGTTGAATCAACAATATTAAATTTAGTGAATTATGCCAGGTAACTAATGTTTTTTTTATTGATTAGAGTTTGTTTGAATAATATAAGTATATTCACAAATTATGTTAAATGGTTAGGGGCAATCAGCATGAAGCTCTGGACTAAGATTTCGTTCTTACCAACACTCAACCGGTTCCCCATCGGAGATTTGAACCCCGCATTACACACTGCAGCAGTCATATACGTAACCAATGAGCTATTCAGGCTCACGCCTGACCTCCCACTGGGCTGTAATAGATACATTGATTAGTGATATTAGATGGCTGGAGGCAGTCGGCAGGAGGCCTTGGACCTAGGTTTCGTGCTAGATGGAACTCACCAGTCAGCAAGGCGTATCTGCAACCTTGAAGGAAGTCATGTCCCTTCTGGAATTCGAACCCGCGTCACCCAGTGCTGCAGTCAGAGACGTTACCACTGAGCTATTCGGGCTCTCTCAGTCACTTAGGAGTAACCAATGTCACGTATCTAACCCTCAGTGTTACTGCTGATTGAATTCTTCCAATCATGCTTGCAATGTCGACATCGAGGTAGGCAACTCGCTGTCGTGATGTACATTAATTTGATATTAGGTGGTTAAGGTCGAATTTCAAACTTAAATTATGATGTTCAATTAGAACTAACACTAAATTCTAAACATATAACATTGTTTACCTCCTAATATCCTATCAATGTACTCTAAATATTTTTCAGTTTTGAACATCTTGCAAAGAGATTTGTAGTATGTGGTATTTATGGGGATAAATATATGCACGCATATATATTCGTGTATATGAATCACGGAATAAGATTACGCTTTTAGAATATGAGTGATACTGATCTCATTAAAAGTTCTGCTTTATTTCAAGTGAAGTAGTTTGAATTCCGTGATCCAAGGAACTTCTTCATCATAAGTCTACACTGAGTCACAAGATCAAGTTGCACTACAAGCTGTTCAATCAAGCACAAGCTAAGTTGTATTATAAAGTAAGATGTTAAGTGCAGTTAGTTGCTCGATAAACTGACCATTACTAAGTTGTTTAGCTGTAGCATTCATCTGATGTTAAAGGGGAACGATTCATTAATGATAGATCAGATACAATAAGAAATAAATATCTAGTATTCTTAACATTATATCCCACTTAAAAAAGTATTATCTTAGAGTTTGCATTTTTGCAAGTTTTGTGTTTTATAGCATATGTGAATCCCATTCAACTTTTCCTATGTTCATTTAAGTTTAGTGGGCTGGAATAAGGATGTCGACCCATCAGTCTACGCGTGTAGTAAACGAGTTCTCATTGTGTTTCACCCATTTGGATGTGATTACTGATGACTGTTCTTCATATCTATGTATTATTTGTTTCATAGTATATTCCGTCAGTCGCCGTCTCCATCAGAATTGCACCAATCAATTATTTTCTCCCATATACTTATGTTATAACATCTGGTTATAGATCAGATTATAAATTGTTTCAAATTAAAAAAATATATATGCGTAATTTATTTCTAATCATGAAATCTGATAGGTGAATTTTATCTTTCAGTTTAATAGCAACAAATGCTGCACGTTTTCGCCTAGCTTGTGGTCCAAATAAAAAACTCTATGAATTTGGTTTACGTCGAGCTCAAGGACCAGACGGAGCACTTTCTGCTTCAAGATACGCATATTTAGGAGGTATCATATAGTAAATAATAATCATAGTCAATTTTACTATATATATGTATATATATATATAAGGATATAATTTTCACACAATCTCACATTAGTGTTTGGTTTCCTTTGTTGTTGTTGGCAATATGCACTTAAACAGATTCGCTTTTTTCATTGTGGATAAAATTTATTTTGATAAAGTCTCACAGTGTTATACAGTAATATTTACTGATGACCACGTTTCGAGCACAGTTTATTGCTCACATAATCATATCAAGGTACTCACACAACTTTCTAACTTCGTTTATATAATTCCATTATTTTTCATCTCTTGACATGATTAGTAGTAGTATTTTCCATATTTCCGGTATGAGTAATGAGTCATTCCTATTGCATGTGTTGGGTGTAGATTCTGTGAACAAAGATTCAGTAATCAAACTCCCTCTCCACCTACCTATATTACTTTTTAGAATTTTAACCCTCTCCCACCCTATTGTGTGGTTGTGTGTTAATGCATGCAGTGCGATTGCTGAGCTTTTTTCTAAATTACGTATCTTCGTGGGGTCAGTCATTCTAATAGTAGCTAAATTCTTATGTTCCGACAATCTGACTACCTCCGATCTACTAGTTTGACTTATATAGTTGACCACACTCACAGTCATTGCAAGGTATTTAGTAAATTATATTATTTTGTCTAATTGGGTCAGCTGGGCCCTTTAACCTACAGAACTTGTCTCTGAGTGAGTTTGTAGGTTTGAATGCCACTCTAATTCCCGCTTTATTAAGAATCCTACGTAGGGTCTCAGATATGGAAAATATTACTACCAATCAAATCAAGCGATGAAAAATAATGGAATTATATAAACGAAGTTAGAAAGTTGTGTGAGTAAAGCATGATATGATTATAAGCAATAAATTGTGCTCGAGACGGTCATCAGTAAATATTACTGTATAAACACTGTGAGACTTTATCAAAATAAATTTTACCCACAATGGAATTATACTCTACCACACTGCACAAGTTCTATCGTATCAGATTCGTTTTACTCCATATTACTTGATTTGGTTGAGTATGTCCCTGTAAAATAGGCTAAGTTCCCACAAAAGGTGAAACAAAAATACAATCAGATAAGGCTAGTGCAATGTGATCCTCATTAGTGGAGTTATATCCCCCCACTAAGAAGTACAAGTGAGTTGCAGCAAAGCTAGTAAAACTTACAACAATTTTTTTACAAACAAACAGAAGTGAATCCTATGTCTAAAGATTTAGTGTCTAGTTGTTATTTTCAGAAGAACCCTATGATGTAATCTATACAACGATAAAAACTCTTGAGGATTAGAGTGCACTAAAGTTGGTCTTCAAGCTCGCCTTATGACCAGAAGGTGGGTGGGTACTGATAAGGAGTCCCAAACAAGGACGAAACAGTTGTCCAGTACTCCCAGCCGGTTTTCCAATGGTTCTCTAACCGATGTCAGTTCATGATGAAATCCTGTAACCAGAATACTGGTGTCTTGGAGACAAGACATCACTCTGTAGTTATCTAGTATTTTTCTAGACCTCTTATTATTGAGTTAAATGTATAATAATATACAATAATAATAAAGCTTTATTTCAGAAGGCGTGTTAACCCATAGGATAGAAATTCTTAGCACATTTAGCTGCAAAATCTGTTCCCCTCTTAGTACAGGATCTACAAGTAAAATAATAATCAACAGTATATCATGTGAAGCAGTGTTGTTTCAAATGAATAAAGTTCCAATTCTCTACCATATTTCTTCTTCATTTCCTTCAAGAACTGAATAGTAGTATGTTAAAAACTAATTAAAAATGTGGGCGAGATCATTTAGTGATCGATGGATATAATTGCATGACTAAAACAATAAGAAATGAAGAAGAGTTTAAGCATTATGATGGAGGAGAATTTTGGTTGCCTGATGATTTAAGCACACTGCCTTATAGAAATAATAATGTGTGTCTACTGTGAAGTAATAGAATTTATAAATCATTATTGAATGCTTCTTGCTGTTTAGTAAATTTCACCTAATCAGGTTCCCATGATCTTTAATCATCAATAGACCTTACATACAATTCCTTGAAAAATGTTTCATGAAAATTATAAGCCAGAGGTAGATTAATAGTTGCTGTTCTGTGACATTAAAGTACCGATTCGCTCTATTACAGATTGATCTGAAATGTAAAAGTAACTCATTAAAACAAAAGGTACATCAGTTCCATTCAGGCGATGTCCACTCTGCTTTTTACTGATAAATAGGATTTAAGAGCTGGAACAGCTAATACAATTGGAACAATTCTGTCAAATCTTGATCACAGTTCATATGAAAACAACTGACTGTTTTTATTTCGGATAGGCTGAACTGGAGCAGTTCGCTTCCAATTTGTAAGTTTGTATCAGCATGTCAAGACAGCAAAGCTGAATGATGAATGCTCATAAGAATTATATTTCTGAACTAACATTAGATGACAATAAAAACTATTTAATTGAATTTTTAGATTTTCCCGTCGACTGATTGGACCGAAGTGCTCGGTCTCAGGTTGTCATGTCGACGATGTCGAAGCATCTGCACAAGAAGCCGACATGACAACCTGAGACCGAGCACTTCGGTCAAATCAATTAAATAATTAATATGACCCGTTGCAAAAGAGGTAGCTCTCGTGGCCCAAGTGGTCTAGTGGATAACGACGCCTTGGCATTTGAAACTATGGGCACTGGGTTCGAGCCTCGGTGGGAACATCATCACTCACTGGGGAATGCAGGTACATCCGGATGACGAGTCCCAAATAGGACGAAATGCGCATCCTGGATTCCACTGCTAGTCTCATCCACCAATTAGACAATAAAAACTGTTCATCATGCATATATATTCATGTATTTCTTGTTAATAGCGAATAAGGCACCATCTGACGAGAAAAAACCGATCTAAACTATGTGAACGATTTCAAAAGTAATGAATAGTCATTCAGAGATGAGTATATAGCCATTCAATACGAGCTTGACTTCCTACCAAACTGTAACCGTATTTCTAATAGATATAGTAAGACACTAGAAATGACAACAGTCAGTTATTGATTTCATGTCAAAACTTTCAGTTATTTTTATTGCTTAGGGTAATTTTTTCTTGATGCTCATTAACCTGCACTTGGACAACCAAAAGGTATGATGCGTTAATCATCGAAATGTAAAATCTTTCTACCTCACTGCTACATAAATCGTTTAGTTTATTACAGATAAAAGTTAATGAGGACAGCTGTTTCTTGATACCGTGTATTCAACTTGTACCACGACAAAAACATAAACTTGTTCTTACTGTCTATAGAGAGAGGAAGAGCGAGTAAATTTATTTATGGTTTATAAGAACCTCTCAGCAGATATGGCAAAAAGCTAATCACTATGCTATTCGGTTTTCTTACTTTTCAATTTACACATGTATTACTTATACTCCGATTACCACTGGATATGCTATCAACTCAAATGTTAATTAAGGTGGATGCATAGAAAAGGTTCAGTTTAGTTAATAAATTTATCAACAGAACATTAGCCTACAATAAATAGATCAAATATTTTTATCATCTATCTACGAGTCACTTTCAAAAAGTCACTACATAGAAACAGAGGTCATGGATTATCAGTTCAACTAATCCAGAGTTTAGCTGAATTACCGAACTCAGATATGACTTTTTCTGATTGGTTTGAATTACTAGTTGTTCAAGTCTTCACTCTTTTCCATTGTATGTATATCTGTGAATAATAGTCACTAAAAGGAAAAGATTTGCACTGGATAATGATATTTGACTAATGTTACAATGTTACGTTTGATGTGAATACAGAAGGACACCAGACATGGATATTTTGCGTACACTTATCACAGTTACCTTTTAAAGTTTTGGGTTACCATAGACTGAGAAGAGCGGAACATATCTTTTGGATACCCATATTATCATTGTAAACTAACGTTGTGTAATGAAAGAAGCAGGAAAATCAAAAGGAAAATGGGTTTAGAATGTTACGCCACTCCTTGAAGCTGCTGACTGTTAATCTTAGGCGCGTGGAGATAGAGCTTCAGGCTAGGGGTCTGGAATTTCGGTACCAGCGGTGTTTATTTTCTCGGGATGAGGTTGCTAGCCTCATGCCCAGCCTACCCTCTTTACTAGTCTTATTACTGGCTTAGCGAGGTCAACGAGTGTGTCGGCTGGGCATCGAACCCTGGATCACGTGCATGGTCGGCGAGCATTCTACCTCTGTGCCACCGACTGCATTACGTAGTACTACTGATAATATCTTTCTCTGTATCTGCCAATTATTAGCCTATGGCAGATGAAACCACAAAGAAGCTGTCAAATTGTTTGCTTTTTCTCGTCGATATTTCACGATATCATTCAAGCTAATGATGTGTAAATTATTGTGTAGTCTGTTTAATCCTGTCACCTAATAGTTTACACTGAAGTGACTCTGCTTCTGTACAAAAAACACGGTATCAAATGTTTGAATACCTGTCAAATTTTATTTTAGATTTTCTTTGGTTTTACTTTTCCCCTCATAAAGTATGTATATCTTGTTTCAGGTTGTGATGGAACAAGCAATGTTTTAGCTGGAAAAATTTATGGTATTCCAGTAGTTGGAACACATGCACATTCATTCATTTCAGCTTTTCAAGGAAGTTGTATGCATGTAAGTTTCTTCTTTTTACTAGTTTATATCTGACAACATTGTTAATTGAAAATATAAAGTTCATATAGATAGTGTTTTTAGGCATTTTAATAAGGACGAAAATTTGACCAAATTGCAACTCTATGCATCATCATCGAACAAAGCATGGAATGGTAATCAAACTTCTACCTCAACTTCATAGACTTTGAGAAGGCCTTCGACAGCGTTGACCGCGAAGTAATTTGGAAACTACTCGAGTACTACGGCGTACCTCAAATATTCATCAACCTTATTCAACAGCTGTACGACAACGGCACATGTCAAGTGATCCACAACGGAAAACTTAGCGAGGCGTTTGGAGTAAACACAGGAGTCAGACAAGGGTGCTTATTATCACCAATGATATTCCTAATTGTGGTGGACTGGATTATGCGTCAGACAGTGGGAAACGAGAAGACAGGGTTATCCTGGACCGACCGACGTGAAGAACCTAGAAGACCTGGATTTCGCGCGTGGATAATTTATGTTTGATGTCACACAAAATCGAAGACTTACAAGCGAAAACCGACAAACTGATCGAAGAAGCAGCAAAGACAGGACTGCAGGTGAACATAGACAAGACGGAGGTTATGAAAATAACCAACCAACAACAACAACAGCAACAGCAACATCCAGCGCCAATCACCATCAACGGGAGGGATTTGAAATAGGTTACTTCTTTCACTTATCTAGGGAGCATTGTCTCAACTACATGAGGAACGGACGAGGATGTCAAATCGAGAATCGGGAAGGCGAGAAACACATTCATCAACCTGAAACCAATCTGGAAATCTTCGTCACTCACCTCAGCATCAACAACAAAATTCGGATTTTCAATGCAAACGTCAAGTCAGTTTTGCTATACGGATCAGAAACTTGGCCAGTGTGTCACAAAGAATATTTCCAACAGCCTGTTGCAGACCTTTATCAACAACTGTCTTCGTTCTATACTGAAGATCAATCAGATGGCCGGAAAGAATCACCAACAAGAAACTATGGGAACAAACAAAACAAGAACCAATCGCCAAACAACAAATATGCAGGAGAAAGTGGAGATGGATTGGACACTCGCTGAGGAGGCGGTTGGGTGGCATCATCGTGCGTCAGGCCAGAGCTCGAGTGGAACCTGAAAGGGAAGCGGCGAGTGGGACTTCCAAGAGTGACGTGGAGGAGATCGTGTGAAGAGGAGTTGAAACAGTATGGATTAACATGGATGCAAGTGAAAAGTACAGCAGAAGACAGAAGCAAGTGAAGAGGTGTAGTTGAAGTCCTATGTCCCACTGGGAACCCAAGGGAACAATAATAATAATATTTAGTTAGTGATTTCTGTGATCATTTCCCTTTACTTTTCGAAAGTAAAATGGTCGATTGACTGATTTAGATATGTATGTTGAACCATGCAAACTAATGTGATATGTTCAATGCGTTGATGTTTAAGCGAAAATTATCACTACAAGTTGAAATCGGATAATCTGTTCCAACTAGAGGATTGAAAAAGTTTGAAAATCGCAAGTCACTAAATTGTCAACGAGCTTGGCCTGGTAACCTGAAGGTCCCAGGTTCGATCCCGAATGGGGTTGTAGATTTGTGCTGTTGAGGAGCCCCAAACTACGATAAAAAAACAGCCTTCCAGTACTCCTTGGTTTTTAGTGGTTCTCTAACTGAGATATCAATCCACGATCGAACTTGAAACAAGTCAGAACCCTTTCAGATAACTTCCGCAAACCGAAGAATATGTGCTGTTAGTCGCCAGAATGTATCTCTGTAATTGTAGTTATACTATACTAAAAGACTTGTCTGTATTGCGGTAAAAGTAAAAGTAAATAACCTGAAAGGTGGGGTTATACTTCCTACAGTGATGCTGTGCTGCTAGTTCAACAGTGTATGGTGCGCGTAAGATATTTTTGCCAACCAACTAGTATTTCATCTGTGCTGTCTTACTTAGACCAGTGAAAGGCGTTTAAGCTTAACTATTTTGAATCTTGCCTTGCACTACACCCTTTCGTCACAAATGGTAAAGCGATTTAAAGGAGGATTCAGTTGTGTAAAACCTATATCTTTAAAAATCAGCGTTTAATTGGCTCCAAGGTGAAAGGTGCAACTTCTTGCATTAACCAAGTGGACACTGACTTTCAAACTGAAATGATAAACTTTTATGTTGATCTATCTGTTCTTATTCAGTCATATCACAACAAACACCAAATATTGATGATAGATTTAGAGTTTCATTGTAATCAAGCTTCTCTTTGATCAATTTGTAACGACAGAAGACAAGGGCCAGGCAACAGATCGTTTATTGAGGAAATCAAGAGATATTTTTAGATTTTTATGTACATTATTTTCAGCGGAGAAGCAACGTCTTCTGATGGTTGTTTTCTTGCTGAAGGTTATTCTGTACTGCTTGTGACCGTTTCTTAGAAAGTTAAGCCATATGTCTGCGAATCCTGTTTGCATACGTTAAGTCTGCTATGATTGGTTGGTGAGTTCCTCGAGGTTAAGCTTTGTTATTGTTTTGCTCATGACCTTGATTCGGGACATAACAGTGACGTAAGTTGCTGTCTACAATTTTGTCTTGCAGCCAGCTCTCACCACAAGTTTAACTGTTTCTTGCTAAATGGTATTACATCTGTATTGAACAAGAATTCTACTTTTTATCTACAAATCCTATCGATATATCAAAGACATGATAACTTCTCTTTTTTACTGTTTTCAAGGAAGAAGGGATTAAAGAATCAGAAAAGTTGATCGGAAAGGCAAACGGCTTAGATAGTTCGCATAGCGACCTCCAAAATTCTACTGATAGACCAATGAAACTGACAGAGTTTTTAAAACGTTGTTGGCATTGGTCAGTCACTTTATCTCATCTATTGAAATATCAATCAGATCAAGTACATCCAGGCGAATTGACTGCATTTGCTAATTTTGCTATTGCATTCCCTACAAAATTTATTGGTCTACTTGACACATATAATGTAATCAAGTAAGGTTTTGTTCATTTTTCGATTCTGTTTGTTTCTTTTCCGAGTATGTATTAACCGCAAACTGTAAATTCAACATCAGTTTGTTTACTGGATATATCATATGGTGCAACGGAAATATTTACTGGATGACGTTTCAAATATAATTCTCTGTGTACTAATGATGCAAATGGTCCACCAAAGGAGAAGGCATCTAAGTGGTTGCACTATAGGATGATAACGTACGCAGTTCTGGCTTTCAAAAGGACCGGGATGAGTGTGTTCGGTTTTCCGGAAAACCAGTGTATAATTACCTAGTCAGTAGGTGCATCACCATGTGAATAAACGGGTTGGTCCTATCAGTAGTCATATGTTTGTCTCAAAGATTAAGTCATGCATGTCTGAGTGCATACCTTGAAATAGTGAATCTGCGAACGGCTCATTAAATCAGTTATGGTTCCTTAGATCGTATACAGTATATAGATAACTTAGTAATTCTGGGGCTAATACAAGCAATTATGCCCTAATTCTCAACTGAACAGGTGCAGTTTTGGTTGTCTCTGTTGAATCCTGTGCTGACTCCTAATAACTTTAATGATCACAGTCAATACTAAGTTGGTGCCAGATCTTTCAAATGTCTGTCCTATTTATTTGTTGGTAGGTGATATGCCCACCATGATTATAACGGATAATCACCAATGATATGATTATGAATAATAAGTTCTGTTCAAAACGTCATCCAGTAAGTAATAATGTTCCACTGTGTGACATATCCATTAAACAAGTCGATAAGAAGTTACGTAATACCACAGTATCCAAGTTTTACCTATATATGCAATTTGGTAAACTGGAGGAATATTGTATAACTGTGAGACTAGTGGGATATTTACTGTTTATTGATAATTCCGCCCTTTTAACTAGATCTTTGAATGTTAAACATAATAAACTACAGCGTTTAGTTTCCTAACTCTGTGGTTGTTTTTCACTACTCTTTCAGTGAATTATAATCAGTAGTAAATAAATGAACCATAACATGACTTGATGTTGCTGCTTTAATTTGTTTACTGCTTGTCTTCACAAAAGCGATTAAAAGTGACTAGACAGTTTACTGTGCACTCTACAGTTATATGAATATTGCCATGTAAGACTGACAGTTAAATTCTTCCCTAGCCTGTTAATATTTCCCAACATACACTTCACTTAAAAGTCCCGTTTAATGCGATTAAGTAAAAGTCATTTTTGTTTACAGCAAGCCAAGCATTCTGTTTTAGGATACGGCGAATCAATCAGTCTTTTTTGCTCTTAACTGATTAGTCTTCCTATAGGATTTTTCTCTTGAATTTTTTCTGATCCCAATAATCTCTAGTATTACTAAAGGTAACGTGCATAAATCTGAAATGAAGAAAACTCATTCATTTATACTTGTATGGCCTTTTTAATTTAGAATTATGTGACTGCTTTAATAAATAATTTATTCACCTACTTTTAAAAACTGTTTGTATCTTTAATATGTCTTACTACTGCTACTAAGTGTCACTATACTTGAATATATATCTTTCAAGAACAACTTTGAGCTGAATTGCTGTGTCAGACTGCATCTAACCAACATGTCTATCACACAAGACAAGCCTGTTTCTATGGAATACACAGCATAACAAATGAAAACCGATGCGAGCATACTACATACAGGGTGGTCGCCAAGCTGGACGAATCAAATGGTTCTAACCTCAGAAAACATAGTAACTCCCTACATTAAAGTATCGAAAGATGTTTTCAGGAGTTAGTTTGTAGGGATTTGATTCGTTTCAAGTTTGACCACCGCCTGATATCAGCTAGAGAACCACTGAAAACTGAGGAGTATTGGACAGCTGCTTCGTCCTAGTTTGGGACTCATCGGCAGTACACACTCAACGGGGTTCGGATGCAGGACCTTCCAGTTACTGCCAGTCATTCCCAAACTAGGACGAAACAGCTGTGCAGTACTCCTTGGTGGCTTTCAATAGTTCTCTAACTGAAATCAATCGGTGGTCAAACTTGAAACATATCAAAAGATAGTTTGAGAACAAAGGTATGTATGAGAAAAGTAACATAATACTGTTTTAGTATGCAAGCTTTTTAAATATACTTATTAGTAGGGGTAAATATTATGCTTCTGAGTTCCCTGGTTGAACACTAGCTGGTAACTAGTATAATGTGTCTAGTCGTTCGTCTGGTGCAGACTGAATTCTATCAGTCAAGTTTGCAATGTGGCTACTATGCTAGGTGACTAGCCATCCCGGTGCACTTTGAATAGTTGATATTATGAAAAAGAGAAGACATTCAGCGAAGAGACTCTTTTCGGCGAATTCATTCACATAGCTGTACGATCGCATTTATATATAATTATTTGTGTGTGTGTGTGTACATGAGATTTGTTAAGTTTAGATAATTGATCAGGTAATGCGAGAATGATCTAATATAGAAACAAGGTTAATCAGACAGCAACCAAAGTAAGATTGAGTTAGTAAGTTAGATGACGTAATATAATTGACTAAAATGTTTCAACTTAGATCAGAGTAGCGACAGAGGTAATTACAGGTAGAGACTTCAAAGTCGTCTACAGAGTAAGAAGTAGTCTTCCTAAAGGTGTACGAATCAGACTTCTTCAAACTGAAGAAGCAATGGCGATTCACTTGCTAAGTCATGAACTCTGCATACAGAAGAAGTTCGTTCAATCACTACACTTGCAATGGACGTAATCTATCTTATTAGCCGACAAGTAAATTCTACCTAATCTTTTCTTCTGTCTCTTCATTAGTATTATTTGATCTTCTCAATTGTAATATTTTACATTTTCAACTTTCTTGTTCTCTACCTCCACCCGATTTAATTTCTACACCTCATTACCCCTGTTGTTGACTTGAACAACGCTCAATTTCTAGTCATTTATGTTACGTCATCCAACTTATTTGCTCAATTCCACTTCTACTTAGTCTCTACCTGTAATTACCTCTGTCGCTACTCTGATCTAAGTTGAAACATTTTAGTCAATTATATTACGTCATCTAACTTACTAACTCAATCTTACTTTGGTTGCTGTCTGATTAACCTTGTTTCTATATTAGATCATTCTTGTATTACCTGATCAATTATCTAAACTTAACAAACCTCATGTACACACACACACAAATAATTATATATAAATGCGATTGTACAGCTATGTGAATGAATTCGCCGAAAAGAGTCTCTTCGCTGAATGTCTTCTCTTTTTCATAGTTGATATTAGATTATTGGAGGGAGTCAGCAGTAAGCCTTGGACCTAGGTTTCGTGGTAGTTGACACTCATCAGCAAGACGCACCAGCAACCTTGAAGGAACTCATGTCCATTGTAATATTCAAAACCGCGTTACTAGCTAGTGCCCAATCCAAGTATCCAATACAGTCCTGTAGGAGGTCTATCGCATCCAGAATCGCTCAGTGGTAACGTCTCTGACTGCAGCACTAGGTGACATGGGTTTGAATCTCAGAAGGGATATGAGTTCCTTCAAGGCTGCAGATAAGCCTTGCTGACTGGTGAGTGCCAACTAGCTTGAAACCTAGGTCTAAGGCTTCCTGCCGATTTTGTCCTAACCACCTAATATCAACACTTCTGAGTTCTTGTCTCCACTTCTACAACTGGTTAATTTGATTAATATGAATATCGAGTTTTACATTTTGGAATACAATAAATACGCTATTCAAGTTACTGAACAGTGTTTTCCAAAAAGGAACTCTCAAATCCCCAACTATATGAAATATAATGAATAAAGATGACACAACAAGTTCTAACTGTTTTCTCCATATCGCATAGTTGGTTAATTTGTTTCTGACTACTTATCAAAATTGTTTGATGCATTCATTAAATAGATTCTACTTAATTTAGAATTTCAGTCATTACTGAAGATTGCATCTAGCATGACTGTAATGCAGCCAGTGTTTGGAGTACGTCAGGCGAATTCCATCTTCATGATCCTGAGGTGTACAAAACAAAGGAAAGAAATATTCAATCCATCAGAATTCCTTAAATCCAGTTTGGGCTTAAGTGAACATACGTTTTAGTAAACAAATATATGATCGATCAAAATGGCCCATTAAAAATTTCAAAAGACTAATTACTGAACAAAGAATATTCTTTTCGATAACTTCTTCATCAGGTCCTGCAGTTATATATCCATAATAATGAAAGAATTAGGGTTATTAAACAACATTAATGTTTAAATAACGTCGAATCAATCATATTAATAGATTACAGTTCATAGCATCTGTAAGCGTGATAATATGCATCAGCATACCACTACACTGAATATCAGACAAATTAGGTAAAATAATAATACAGAATTCATGAATTTATAGTCTCCACTGAAGGCCAGAGCAGTAGAAGTGGCTGGACTGCTTCACCACAAGAGCACCGGTTTTCAGGATGCAATAAACTCTGTTGTTAAGAGTCTTCGGTACCTGGATGCTCTTGGTAATTTATTAGGTACCCGATATATGATAGAGAAGCATTCTTCAGTGCTAGCTTTGTGGTCGGTTTGGACCAGATGGTCTAATACTGAGCTGTTGATGTTTTTCACTATACCTTTATTTAGCCACACTGGTAGGTGTTCCCGAGCGCGGAAAATCAAGTTCCTAGAGCAACAGCCAATACAACTCACTCCACAAGAGCAGTTGAATTGGTAGATACAATTAGAGATGGCTAGTCTAGGTACTTCATCTTTCATTTGAGGAATCACAACCGCTCGTGTAGACAATATGACTTGTAGTTTAACCGGCATTAATTTTATTTCAAAATTAATGTTGTTAATAACCCTAATTCTTTCATTATTATGAATATATAACTGTAGAACCTGATGAAGAAGTTGTTTTGAAATATGTTTTTTATTCCTTCGCGTTCCCAGTGGAACATAGGGCTTTAACCTAGAGCTTGGAAGTTTCTGTAGCAGTGTTTATTTTTACAGGATGGGGTTGCTAGCCTCATGGTCAACCTTTCCTCTTTACTAGTCTTATTACTGGCTTAGCGAGGTTTAGGAGTGAGTCGGCCGGGGATCGAGCCCCGGACCATGTGCATGGTCGGCGAGCGTCCTAACCGCTGTGTCACCGACGCGTTCTGAAATATATATATATATCACCATAAATTTATATGTATTTTGTTATATTTTGATTTTCAGGTCAGGTTTACCAAATTTCTGTGCAGTTGCATTAGCCCTTCATGAATATGGTTATCAGGCTATCGGTGTACGTATTGACAGTGGTGATTTGCCATATTTGTCGTTAGAGACTCGTAAAGCTTTTACACTAATTAGTTCATAGTAAGTAATCTGTGTTTTCTGTTATTTGACTGTGTTTCTTCAATGGAAAGAAAGAGGTACTAATTATTTTTGCTTAATCTACTTTTACTTTTTAATTCACTGGTGGTTATAAATGTGCGATTGATATAAGAAGAGAATTTGAGCATTGTGGTAGAGTATAACTCCATCATAGAATAATTTTACTGGGTGAAATACACAGCGGTATGGTATTTTATTTACTAGATGACTTTTCGAGCAAAATTTATCACTCATAACCATATCAAGACACTCACATAACTTATAAACTCTATTAATATAATTTCATTATTTCATATCCTCTGCTTTTATTAGAAATAATATTATTCCATATCTCTAGTATCGGTATTGTGTCATTCCTGTTGCATGTATTACGTGTTGTGTACCCTGCAGTGTAATTATGTGTTAGTCCATACATTGCAACTACTGATTTGTCCTCAAAGCTTAAGATCTTTCTTCGGTCAATCATTTTGCAATTCACGAAATTCCTATGCTCTGATTACCTAACTGACCCCGCTCAACTAAAATTTCTTTCCAGGTGACTAGTTAATGGCACAGACTTCTACATACTGTAGGTTTTTCTCACCAGTTTGTGAATGTTAATAATGATAAAGGAGGTTAAATGAGACGCACATTGGTTGTTGGTTTAATTGCGGGGCTTTTGTTGTCCTTCTGGACAACGTCTTCAGCGCAAGTTTTAGCATAAAATGAACTAATTTAAATTCTCCATGAATGATAGAATTGTGTCTCCTAGCCACAATCTTAATTTCATCTACAAATTTCTCTATTATTATTTGCCTCTTCTGGACTGTTTGGTCAAAGGACAACCAGATGGTAAACTGTGGAGAAATATTTTCACAGAGCCTACTAATTCGGACAGACACCTGGATTACATGCAATCCGGCACATTCCTTTGCCACTAAAGTAACTGTGGCTAAAAATGCGATTAATAGGGCCAAACGTCTAGTTACTGGGGAAGAAGACACCAGCAGAGAACTGAAATTGCTTCAGTCTACTCTTGAATAAAAAATAATTGCCCAAAAGCCTTAATTAAAAACTATTTGAAAAGTGAAGATAAGGATGCAACAAAATCTTCTGTTGAGAAATGGGTTAGTACAGTAGTGATCCCTTATCGCAAAGAAACATCGGATGAAATAAAGAGAATTCTTAACAGTTATGATATAAACACCTTACGCTCATCACTAGTGAAAGATAAGGATAAAATAGTTGGAGACAATCAACAAAATTGCGTGTACCAGACAAACTGTGGGGATTGTGATGCTGTGTATTTGGGCGAAACTTCCAGACAGGTAAATGTAAGAGTGAAGGAGCATAAACAATGCCGTAAAGTGCTTCCAAAGATCTCTGCAGATTTGAAGAAGCTAGAAAACAAACCAGCGACTGCAATGCACTCGATAGAAACGGGACACAAGATCGACTTTGATAGTAATAAGGTCCTACTGAAAGGTTTTGATTTATATAAAGAAAGGCTGGCTACAGAAGCCCTGCATAAACGGGTGAATCCCAAAAGTTTGGAAAGGTGTCATGTAACCTGATTAATAAATAAGATGGATATGCATCACTAATCAATCATACTTGATCTAAATCCCCGATTGTTTATATCTTCTTGTGGAAAGGCTAACAAGTGATATACAATTGCCTTTCCATCCAGATGACGAGTCCCAAAAGGGACGAAGTGCACATCCTGGATTCCACTGCCAGTCACCATCCATCAGTGGAAGCGAATTATTATTATTATATCCAATTTTAGCATTTTTGTTTTACAATATTAATTAATTATAAGTCTACACTGAATTTACTGTAAACATGCCCTCAACAGACGTTCACTTCTTTGAAATTCCTAAATTCGTATAATGCTTAGTTGGTTTAGCTAAACTTTCAACTTTCTTTTCCAGTTACAAGTTGCCGTGGTTTGCACAGTTACAAATACTTGTTAGCAATGATTTAAATGAAGATACTTTGCATTCTATAAATCAACAAGTATGTTGTGTTATTATTGTTATTTTTATTTTTTATTGTTGATGCCATTGTATTGCTTTTAATAGATGTTTTTTTTTCAGTGGACTCCACTATTATGAACTTAAGTTTATGAATTAATTTTCTCAGTCATCCTTGTCTTGCCTAACCTATCTAATGGGTACTTTGGAAGGTGTTTGTGTAATGGTAGTAACAAACGTATACCCTATAGACCGTGTCACAGAAATTTCTAATTCAAAATATGCTGCTGACCCAAGAGAGTGGTTACATTTGAATTCGAAATTATACTCGAAGTAGAAGGAAGACTTACAAGCGAAAACCGACAAACTGGTCGAAGAAGCAGCAAAGACAGGACTGACTCCAGGTGAACATAGACAAGACGGAGGTTATGAAAATAACCAACCAACAACAACAACAGCAGCAGCAACATCAAGCGCCAATCACCATCAATGGAAGGGATTTGAAAGAGGTTACTTCATTCACTTATCTAGGGAGCATTGTCTCAACTACAGGAGAAACGGACGACGATGTCAAATCGAGAATCGGGAAGGCGAGAAACACATTCATCAACCTGAAACCAATCTGGAAATCTTCGTCACTCACCTCAGCATCAACAACAAAATTCGGATTTTCAATGCAAACGTCAAGTCAGTTTTGCTATACGGATCAGAAACTTGGCCAGTGTGTCACAAAGAATATTTCCAACAGCCTGTTGCAGACCTTTATCAACAACTGTCTTCGTTCTATACTGAAGATCAATCAGATGGCCGGAAAGAATCACCAACAAGAAACTATGGGAACAAACAAAACAAGAACCAATCGCCAAACAACAAATATGCAGGAGAAAGTGGAGATGGATTGGACACTCGCTGAGGAGGCGGTTGGGTGGCATCATCGTGCGTCAGGCCAGAGCTCGAGTGGAACCTGAAAGGGAAGCGGCGAGTGGGACGTCCAAGGGTGACATGGAGGAGATCGTGTGAAGAGGAGTTGAAACAGTATGGACTAACATGGATGCAGGTGAAAAGTACAGCACAATACAGAAACAAGTGGAGGCGTGCAGTTGAAGCCCTATGTCCCACTGGGAACCCAAGGGAACAATAATAATAATAACAGAAGGAAGGGATGGAGAAGTTTCTTCTGTGTACATAAATAAGAGTTTTCCATCTGAATCGCTAAGGCCTCAGTAATGCAAAGCATACAGTTTCAGAGAGACTTCTTTTGCTTTTGTAAACAACTTTTAATAAGTTTTCCTTACGTATTCAGTGATCAGTATTGAGTGTACGTCCAGTTGTGGCACTCCTTATTCATCCATTGTTGCGTTTCTGAAGCCAAGTGGGATAATGTTCTTTGACTCTTAGATAAAACACTTATTGAATGACCTATATATCTCGCTCTACAGGAGCAAGTGAACTGGTAGATACACATAGAAATGATCAAAGGCGATAGCTTATCTTCAGAGTTATTGGAGAACATTAGGTGGCAGGAGAATACCTATTTCAATGTGGAAGCGAAGAATGTTCTCAGGGCGTTTGATACTCTCTTCTTTACAGTATCGGATAGAAGGTCACTTTTGAACTTCACATTTGTGTGTAGCATCTTCTTTGGCACAGAGATGTGGTTTGCTTTGTTGGTTTTGGGTTTTTTGTGTTTGCATGGAGGATTTCATCATGAGCTGACATCATTCAGAGAACCACTGGAAAACCTGGTAGTACTGGACAGCTGTTTCGTCCTAGTTTGGGACTCTTCATCAGTACGCACCCACCGGGATTCGAAACCAGGACATTCTGGTTACAAGGCGAGCTGGTAAACCATTCAGCCACTGGGACCCTATCCAATTCACGACATAGCGCGACCATTTCACAATATCTTCTTCGATGAGTTGCTACCTCATCTTCAACCTGCTGTACCCTACTGGTCACGGCTTCTCACTAGAACCCCAGGTTAACTGCCTGAATAGGGCCAGTCACTAGTAAGCATCAGATTAATTTTCAAGCATTGGTTTTGTAGGAATTTTGTTTGATTGCATGGAGTTTTCATCATGAGCTGACATATGTGTTCATGTGTTTATCTGTGAAGCGTCAGGAGTAACCATTTCCTCAAAACAGCAATCTCTTAATGTACCGGCTGCAGATACTTTGAATCCTCGTCGCAAGAGATAGTATCATGTTTCACTTGCGATTTATGGGTACCCAACTGTAAAAGTTTGTCAACTGGCGGTCCCACACAGGTATTCTATATATACTGATCTGTGCAATGTCCCGTCAGCCTTCTTTGTCGATTGAACGTCCAGGAATTTGAATTAGTAGATAATATGGGATCAGAGTGAAAAATAACACCTAACCTTGCTATATTCAGCTTCAACATTACAATTTAACCCTTTTTTTGTAAACATAGTGTTTTGAGTTACAAAGTTAACAGATATGCATAACACATATCCCAGAAACCCAGGTAGATGGAATTTCGCAATCTCATTCAAACCAAGTTTAGATTTTATTTTTATACAATACTCTACCTCTGGTCTCAAAATTTATTATTTGAGAGTGTTATAAATGAATGTTTGGTCAAATAGTTGGAGCTTTCTGGAATTTTTTTTTGCATTTATCATGCTTCATAATCAGTGAGTAACTGAATGCTTCACTTGTCCTGTAAGTAAAACAATTTGGCGAAAAGCCGAAGAAAGACAATTCAGGGACCATCAATGCACCACAGAGCATATGGCTTCATAGGTAGATGAAGCAGTGATCAAACATCATATCTATAGTGTAAGGGGACACCACAGAAATATGTACCCGATTGCTAAGGAGCGAATTCTCGACGTCCTCAGAAAACATCAGAAATATTTTCGAATAATTGCTTTCTGGTAATTCTCCTGAAGTGGCATTTAGTTTATCACAAATCCTTTCCTACATTACAGCATTCTATCTGTGCACCATAGAATATGGTAACTAAACATTCGTAATGTCAGGATACAGAAGTGTGTTCAGTCTATACTTAAAGTAACTGCACTATGGTGATGATAGTTTTCTGAGTTTATGTCCATCGGATGAACGGAAGATTCATTTTGGTTTTCATGAATTGTAGAATTTCTGTTATAAAGACTTGATAGTACGTTATTTTCATATTTAAGGTCAGTACATAGTGTTTCAAGTATGGTAGATTGGTTATGCATTGCTTATCCATTTCTATTCAGAAATAAATCTGACGCGCTAGTTCTGATTAGCTTTGCATACAATAGGTTATCTTGTATCACCTTCTACAGAAACTAAATCCCTGGAGTCAAGTGTCACTTATTAGTCCTTTCCAGTTTAACTTTTCTGGTTTTGCAAAATGACAGCAATGTTTCTAATGTGCCAAGTACTTGCAATATTGTGGTAGCAACAGCCTACTGCATATATTGTTTATTTCGTACAAGGAAAGTTTGATACTTTTCACTGTTTCGATATGGTTCCATTCTCCCCCCCCTCATGTAGTGGAGATATTCCTCACAAAAGTGAAAGGGCACACGCGAACATCGGGCGTTTAGAACAAAACTGGTAGACATGCTGGTCTACCTAAAGCAGCTAGAAAACCCTGATTCTAAATCTATGGTGTCCATGGACTCCAGAATTCGAAATGAATGGATGGCAGTGTGAACCTATTTTGATCACCACCAACCACGGGAACGCAGCTCGTGATGCTTCTCCACTGTCTTATGGATCAGACTTCAACTCAAAAGCTGGTGGAGTGGCTCCTTGAGACAACCACATGTTTCGGTCTGGGCATCCAGCAGTATTCTAGCCTTAACACAAGCTATGAGATTTGTATGGCACACATCTTAGTGCTCATAATGTAACAGTTTTTCGTTTTAATAATTATGTCATAATCTGAGCTGGATGGTTTAACTGTGAAGCTTTCATTGTACTTCTAGAGGACATCTTCAGCACAGACTTCATCATAAAGTGAAAAGAACTATACTGGACAAGGTGGACATCCTGTTTGACTCTGAGTCCCAAAATGGCTGTCAAAAAACACATGCATTTTGTCATACAAATGCATTTAGACAACTACAGACACCGATTGGACTGAGAAAATGTAGAAATGTTTATGCACTGGAAACACCGAAAATATCAGGGAATACCTAGAAGTCTGGTACTCTTATGAATCTGCAGTCAACAGACACACTGACACCCACGAAATTTATCAACTAATCGAGAATAAGTCGTATGAAATTATAGGCACGACCAGTATCGTCAGGAAAGACAATTATACCATTCATGAAGAATTCAAATAAGTTCACTTCATATTGAAGTCTGGGCTGAAGATGTCAACTTGACGGAGAATAAAGCTTCACAGTTGAAAACCACCATCTCGGAGAGCACACACATCAAAATCACCCACTTGAGCTACATTAGGTTGGGTAACTGCTTTTTGTCTAACCGCTATCCAAACAGCCTTTCTGGCATGGTAGGACCTCAAGCGACATAAGTCTCAGCCAGTATAGCTTGTTGGGTCATTGCGGTGTTCAAGCTCGACCACCACTTCAAGGTAGCAGGTTTCGCTAACTTACACCATCTCTGGCGTAGGCGTGACATCCGACTATCAACCAAGGGACGTGTGTACTGTTCAGCAGTTCGCTCCTTCCTTCTCTATGGCTCTGAAACATAGCCAATACGAGTTGAAGACATGAAAAGGTTGACTGTTTTTGATCATAGATGTCTACGATCTCTTTCTCACGTTAGGTGGTATAATAAGGTAAGTAATGTTGACGTTAGGCGTAGAGTGTTGGGCAAAGAGGGAAAATCAATCGAAGAGGCTATAAAGTTATATAGATTGAGATGGCTAGGTGACGTGCTGCGCGTGCCTAACCATCGCCTCCCCCTCCTGACGGGCATTACTAGCTGATATAGGTGCAGGTTGGAAAAGAGCAAGTGGTCGCCAAACAAAAACATGGCCTCATCAATCTATGAAATCCCTGACAGTTAAACTGAGTCAGGTAGGGAGATGCAGACTTCCGGGTTGGGGCCCTCGGGACTCTAAGAATCAATGGCTGGAGACAATAGGTGACATGGCTCAAAATCGTTGTCAGTGGCGCAGATGTATCCAGTCTCTGTAATCTTTCATATTCCTTTCTACCATTACTCATTCTCTTTCACTCTTATACTTGTCAAAACTCTATTGATTCTCTTCACTCATTTTCTTGTCTACCTTTGTGTGCTATTTGGAACGTGGCAACTCGAACTGCTGCACTTCGGTGCCAAGTTCTATGTTGAATTCAGCCAGCCAGCCAGCCACTTGAGCTACACATATCCATTACTTTTTAGAATCAACTTGAAAATGTCGCTTAGCCGGTAGTAAGACCTATAAAGTGGGAAGGTTGGATGTAAGGCCACAAACCCTAACCTGTGAAAAGAACATCACAATTACTGAATATTCAAAGCTGAAGCTTGAAGCCCCACGTTCCACTTGGAACGCAAAGGAACGAAAAGAAATTGTTTCAGCATTTGGCAATAAATTATGTTAAAGATATCCACGGGCTATATATATGTATATAATTTGAGTCTATAAAAATGACTTAATTTTACTAAATTCTACTGAGATCAGAGCAACTAAACTATTACATTGTTACCTCTACAAACACTGAAATGTACTCATATACTAATTAATAAACTACATAGAGAAATGTCATAATAGACTGCTAGAACAACGCATTATCAGGGTTATCATTCTTAACTAGTTAATTGTGTTTTATTTTCATTTGTACTAATTAACTGTTGTTTTGCTTAAAACTAGAATAGTCTTATTGTTAGCTTCTTCAAGAAATGGCTTAGTTACGTGTGTGTATGTCTATATGATGCCAAGTATATCAGATCAGTTAACCCACAAAAAAACGAAATGTTTACTATCCTCTGACTGCATACTTGGTAATATGACTTTCGGCTTCTGAAGTTGTTACCATTATCATTATTATTGATTTCACCCTGTTATCATGAAAAAGATAACTAAATTCTTATACTTGTACCTGTCAGCTTCTACTTTCCATGTGCTTCTAGAAATAATTCATTCTTAGAAGAAAAGGAAAAAAGAACGAGAATTTCGGTGTTATACCTTTCTGTGCTACTAATGTACTTGACAAAAGGTGTCTAGGATAGACTTTCACATAAAGACCACACTTGAATTCATGTACATACTGTAACCTTGTAATTTATTAAATAAAAGTGACTAAAAGATGAAAAAAGCTTTGAAGAAGAAATTGACAAGAAATCCTGAATTAGTTGTGTTTTCTGAGGTTTTGTCTTCCTTCTAGACAACATTTTCAGCCGGCAGGTTTTAGCATAGAATGAACTCATTCGAATTCTGCATGAGTGATATAACTGTATCTACTGTATCAGCTGTTGTCGCGATTAGTTGTTGGTTTACGTCTCTATTGGTCATTTTTATTGACTTGGAATTCGAACTATCTTGTCATGTGATTTACTTTTTATTAACTGGTGAATTCGGTCTATAGTGATGTGTTTGTTAACTGCTGTTTCACTTGAGTACCAAGCTTCTAGGAATTCCCTGGCATTTTTGCTGTTTCCTCTATTTAAAAAAAATTTTACATTGTCCCAATCAAACTGGCGTCCGTAATTATCTGCAAGCATTGATAAGAAAGTATATATATCCTGTCTTTTTACAGCCAATTTGTGTTCTTGGATTCGGATTAGAAGGGGACACCCACTTTGACCGATGTAATGTTTATTGCAATTAAATGAACCGACTCAGAGAACACAACTTATTCAAAATCATCCACCTGAGCTACAAATCTTCTCCATTATGAGAAGATACCTCTTTTATTTATTGATGCAAAAGTTTTTGTATTCTCCAATGAATTAAAAAACGATATTGCATGAAGGATTTCATTATGAGCTGACATCAGTTAGAGAACCACTGGAAAACCTGGGAGTACTGGACAGCTGTTTCGTCCTAGTTTGGGACTCTTCAGCAGTACGCACCCACCGCCATGATTCAAACCCAGGACCTTCTGGTTACAAGGCGAGCTCGTAGACCGTTGAGCCACTGGGTTCGAATCCCGATGGGTGCGTACTGCTGAAGAGTCCCAAACTAGGACGAAACAGCTGTCCAGTACTCCCAGGTTTTCCAGTGGTTCTCTAACTGATGTCAGTTCATGATGAAATCCATGCAATCAAACAAAATCCCTACAAAACCAATACTTGAAAAAACGATATTGTTTTTACTGACGTTTCGATATTTAATGCTGCTAATAGCTTTACCAAAACAATATTAAACCAGGATTTATAAAAAATCTCAGCTTATAAACGGTCACTTTATCCAAATTCTTTAGCGTGAGGTTATGCCCTTTGTCAGATAGGTGAATCAAGATTACAAATCTTGTACACTATGTTGGGTTTACTAAGTGTATGAAATTATAAATACAGTAATGAAATCGCTTATCACATTTGTATTGATTTTTTCATAACCGGATTAAACTCCATCTTAGTCCATCATTTCTATCCAGACAATTTGGATTCCACTTAATAAGAAATGATTCTAGCATGAGATATTCTTTGTGATTTTTGAAGTTTAAAAAAATGATTTCAATATAGTCAAAATCGATTTAGTGGCCTGGATCCAAAGCATGTTTCGACTGGACACTAACTAGCGATTATTGTAATGTGTCTAGTGCTTCGTCTGGTGCAGACTGAATTATATCAGTCAAGTTTGCAATGTGACCACCATGCCACTAGGTGGCCGACCATCACTTCGCACTGTGAATCGTTGATATTAGATGGCTGGAGGCAATATGAAGGGAGCCTTGAACCTAGGTTTCGTGCTAGTTGGCACTCGTCAGTATGGCGTATCTGCAACCTTGAAGGAAATGATGTCCCTTATGAGATTTGAAGCCACGTCACCCAGTGCTGCAGTCAGAGACGTTACCACTGAGCTATTCGGGCTAGAATAGCTGCGGCAGTGGATGATGCGTGTTCGAATCTCAGAAGAGACATGAATTCCTTCAACGTTGCAGATACTCCATACTGACGAGTGCCAGCTAGCCCGAAATCTAGGTCCAAGGCTTCCCGCGGATTACCTCCAACCATCTAATAAAGCATGTTTGTTTTTCATTCACTGGGAAATTAAAAAAGAACTCTTATAATAATGATTACCACATACCAAGTGACCAAGTTTTCTCAAAATATTTAATGTAGACTTGGTTTGGACATAGATATTTCTTGTGTGTCAAGCTACACATCTTCATTGTTTTATGTAGATCATTTCCCGAAAGAAATGGAGTCATACAATAAGCTAATCAGATATTTGTGTATTGACCATAGGTCTGGTTTATTTTTTAGTTGGGTATAATATTATATTTAGTACTGTCGCTTGAAGATACAGAAGGTTTTTCATAGTTAAATTAAAGGTGCGTTATGGCGATTCATATGAACCTACGAACTTATTTTACTAAATGTTCCCTTTTAGTCATTATATAAGCCTTTTATGGCTTCTTTTTTCACAGCTTAATGTCATTTAGAATTAGAGATTTAATCGCTTTGAATGTTTATAACGGAAATGTTCATTTCGTCTCCTTTAAAAATTTATCTGTTTTAGGATCATTCTATCGATGCATATTGTGTTGGAACACATTTAGTCACGTGTCAAAAACAACCAGCTTTAGGATGTGTTTACAAACTTGTTGAAATCAATGGAACTCCGACGATGAAACTCAGTGCAGATTTTGAAAAACAAACTTTGCCTGGAAAGAAAACTGTGTATCGTTTGTATAGCAAGCAAGGTGGGTTGTGTTTTTCTCAATGAACTTACGGTAACTAATTGCAACAATTTTTGATGTAGTATCATCCTACTTATTAAAGTTATAAGTAGTCAAACGATTTATTGAAAATATGTTTAAATACTGCATTCCATCCACATTGTTTACGTGAATCGAAAACCAGGGTCAGATTTTTGTCATGTAGTACATTTTTATGCATCCAATGATCATAATATCAAAACATCGCAGTATGAATGAGGATTAATAGCGATGCTGAATCGCAGCATATTTTTAGCTGAACGAAAAAAATTTGATTTATGTATTATTATAGTTCCCCTGGGTTCCGAGTGGAACAACACATCTCCACTTTGTCCTATCTTCTGCCGTCCTCTTCATCTGGGTCCACGAGTGACCATAATCTCTCATCTCCTCCTCACACGATCTCCTCCATGTCACCCTCGCGCTGACGAACCAGTCATCGCTTCCCATTCAGGTTCCACTCGAGCGATGGTCTGGCGCGCAATGTCATTTGACAGCCTCCTCAATGTATGTCCAATCCATCTCCATTTTCTCCTACATATTTGTTGAGCAATCGACTCTTGGTTGGTTTGTTGCACTGCAGAGTTTCTTGTTGATAATTCTTTCTAACTGACTGGCCATTTGATCTTCAGTATGCAGCTAGCGAAGGCAGCTGCTGATAGGAGTCTGTAACTTGTTGGAAATCCTTTTCGTGACACGCTGGCCAAGTTTCTAACCAGTATAGAAGGACCAACTTGACATTTGTGTTGAAAATGCGAATCTTGTCTGTGGTATGACATTCAGGTGTTCCATCACAAATCTAGAGGTCATATAGTGATGTGAATTTCGTGATTGTTATTATCAAATGGTTTATATAAGTATGTTTTGATAAGCCTAATTCCATCTATTCATTTTTTTCTAAAAACATTTTTAACCCTAGGAGAAGCTTTACTGGATTTGATGAAAACATCTCATGAAAAAGCTCCAAAAGCGAATGAACGTATTCTATGCAGACATCCAAATCAAGCATCTAAACGTGTATTTGTTGTACCTGGAAGAGTTGAAGAAATGCTTAAATTGTATTGGAGTTGTGGAAAAGTATGATCACACTTTCATGTTTTATTTCATTGTCAACATTTTTGATGACGAATTTCTTATTTCATTTTTGAAATTATTTAATCCAAAAAGTATGAAGATATGAAGTGGTGAATGGACCTCAAATATCAGTCAACGGCAGGGGGAGAAACATATAAGACGTTGTCTCTTTTTCACTTATTTTGGCTGCATCGCTTAAACTGAGACATGGATGCGGATGTCATAGTCAACCAGGGTTGGAATCGCAAGGCATTCATCACTTTCAAATCAAGGTGGAGATCTACAACACTCAGTACAAGGAATAATAATTGCAGTTTTTAATGGTAATGTCAAGTCACCGCTTCTATGTGGTACAGACTCTTGGCTCCTGCAACACCTAAGCGCTTCCACTATTCTGCATACTTTCATCAATAGTTGCCTACTCTCGATATTGAGGATCAGCTGGTCAGCCAGAGAGGATAAGCAGCAAAAAACTCTGACACCATAACGAACCAGTTAAAATCCTATTGCCCAACAATGTTTAGAAGAAAATGGAAATGGATCATACGTATAGTGAAAAGATATTCAAATGACACCACAGACCAGGTCTTCAAATGGAACCGTACCCTGAAGCAATGGATTGGGCGCACGAGGGTAAAATAGGGAAGATCATGCTGGGAAAAAACGACTACTTGTGGGAAGATATGGAGTTCGTTGAAGGTATTTGCAGTGACCTGAGTGAAGTGGGGGCCTTATGTTCCGCTTAGAAGGAAAACTATTTACACGTTAAGGTAGATTTAGGTTTTCTTTTTCAAATCACAGTGGAACAAAATACTGAAAATAAGTTACACAGATAATGACTACATCATAACTCAACTAAATTTGTAAAATACTTCTGAGCTCAACGTTTTCAGTTTGAACACAGGTTGTACAATGGAAACAGTCAGTATACAGATATTTTTATGCAAAGTTGAGCATTCGGTCACAGAGCTTTAAGATAACCTTAAAAAATGATGTTTAAGCCATCGTTTTCTAAAATTATTGTTAATAGTACCAATTGAAGTAATCACTAGCATTTGGACAGAAATACAAACAGGTGAAATTTTTCGAGAAGATTTGTCTGTAGTATTTAAATTTTTTCAAATATTTCTTTCATTTCATTATTTTATGAATTATAATTTACTAAACCTCTCATTGTTTTCATGGTTTTGTCACCAGGTGCAAATAAGACATTCTCTTTGACCTAGATTCGGATGCAGATAAGCGGCATTTTGAAAAACAAACCAATTGACACACTCCATTTGTTTGACGCCTTTACACTGAAAAAAAATTCTGACGTCTTTTTATCTTTAAAAAATACCCTTACCAGTATTATCCTCTTCACTTAACAAACAAGGCAGTATTAAACATACCTAAGACATATCTTTGGAAATGGGGGAAATCTACATCGAATACTGAACATCATAGTGAACTTACTCAAGGATTCAGTATAATAGAGGAGAAGATAACTAAACTTTAGTAAACATTGTTTAGTTATGTTAAATGTTGTGGCATAGTGGTAGAATGCTCGCCAATCACACAAATGGTCCGGGTTTGATTCTCGGCCGATGCATTCCTATACCTTGCCTAGTTTAACCGCACCCCCTGAAAAACAAAACGTCTGCAGAAACTTCATAAATTGAAGCCCTATGTTCCACTTGTAACGCAGAAGGAATGGATTGGATGCTAACTGTTGCTACACAGCCAATAACCAATGTATAATTCTAAGTGCTGATCCAAATTCATTGATGTGTGTCTGTGTGTACAGTGAAGTCAGTGAATTTATCCTGTTCATTCTGCTGAACTGTAATTTTACATTACGTGATGGACAGAAAGCTGTTAACGTCGATTTAATGGTTACTGTCAACTACTGACAAAGCATACCTACAGTGCCGAAACAGACTGGAGTAACTTCGGATATTACAACATGTACTAATAGTTCCGAAGTTAAAAGCTTTATCGCTAAACTTCTCAGAGTATAGATTAATGATTCATAACATCAGTTTAAGCTGCTAAACTTTAAAAAATTTCAACAGAACAAAAAACTAATAAAACACAAACTAAGCTTCTATATTTAGCCATGGTATTAAATCCTCTTAGAAGCCACTCAAAATCTAGACTAACAAATTCTCATCAAACTAAAACATAGATTAGATAATTCAAAATTAGATAGTGAGGGAAAATGGTTAGTTTTGACTTTGTTAGTTTATATATATCGTATATCGATAAATATGGCTATGGAGGCAGTCAGAAACGAACTCACTTCTGACCAAGAACTTGAACTTAGAACAAAAGTGCCACTAGAGGACATAATGCTGGGAGTGCAGCTATGTCTGACTTCCAAAGTATTTGAATTCCAAGGGAAAATATGCAAACAAACTGAAGGAGTTGCCATGGGATCACCAATATCCCCGGTTGTGGCAGACATATTCATGGATAGGTGGGAAAACATAGCGATTGGAACGTTCAGCCCCATCCCAAAAGTATGGTGGAGGTATGTAGACGACATATTCATCGTACTTAGAACTCAGGACATAAATAGATTTTCGAACACATTAACTCAAAGGTGGAGGCAATTCAATTCACTTATGAATTGGAAAGTCAGGAAGGGGAGCTTCCAATGTTAGATTGCAGCGTAAAAAGGAAAGAAGATGGGAAGTTAAACACTGGTGTTTACAGGAAACCCACACATTCAAACAGATATTTGGACTTCCGATCATCCCATCCTATGTCAGTAAAAATAGGATTAGTGGAATGTTTAAGTGATAGAGCACAAAAACTAAGTAGTACCAAGGAAAATCTAAGACAGGAAGTGATACATATAAGAGAAGCCTTGAAACTTAATAATTACCCTGATAAATTAGTCAGAAAGGATGTAGGAAAATGTAGAAATAAAAAAATAATAATAGTAGTGTTAGTGATAATGGTAATAATAATATTAATGACGACATGCACATCAAATATGCGCAAGACAACACCAACAATAAGGAATTTAAATCATCAGTAGTAATTCCATACAAGGAAGGAACCTCGGAAACCTTACGCAGAATTCTTAACAAGGCAGGAATAAAAGTGGCATTCAAACCGACAAACTCAATTAGAAACAAGCTTTGTCGATTAAAGGATCCTGTGGAGCCAATTAAACAAATCAATTTAGTTTATCTAATGCCCTGCCTGCAATGATTGTCAGGTCAAATACATAAGTAAAGGTATTAGAACGGGGTCAGTCAGACTAGTGGAGCACAAAAACTTAGCTAAATCTGGATTAGTTGACCCAAATAAGATAAGAAATCTGGAGGATAGTTCAGCTATAGCACTACATGCAATTACACACAACCATACAATAGGATGGGAAAATTCGAAAGTCTTAAAATCTAATGTAACAGGGTCGAGGGAGAGATTGATAACGGAAGCTTTATTTATCGAGTCAACTGCAACTACGTGTAATAGGAATGATTCAACACCTGTCCCAGACATTTGGAAAATTCTACTACCCCTACGACAAATAGGAAATAATAAAGAAAAATATGAAAGGAGAGTTTCGAAGTTGTCTGGTTATAATTGATGATATGATTATAAACAATAATAAATTGTGTTCGAAACCTTGTCATCCAGTAACTAATAATACTGTTTCACCGTGTGATATATCTAATAAACAAATTAATATGGGGGCTTCTATATTAATTTCTTGACCAGGTATATCCCACAATAAAACAGTATTATTTACTGGATACTGTTTCAAACACAATTCATTGTTGTTCTTCTCTCCCACTTGTCATGAGGGCATTAGAATTTTCCAGACGCCTGTATTCTTAGTTGATCCGATAAACCAAGCTCGATTTATCAATTCATCCTTCCATCCTGTTACACTGAATTTCAAGACTGCCACCTTGTGCTGTCTTACTGTATGGCTGTGTGTAACTGCATTCATGCCTTAATAAAGTCTACTAGTCTAGATTTTGCAAAGTTGTTGTGTCCCCTGCTAATTTAAACGACTCTGGTCTAATATTTTGACCTCTGAACTTGACTTCACAATGACTGTACGGTATAAGATAAACTGAATGATTTTGTTTCATGGGTTCCACAATATCCTTTAACTAACATAATTTGTTTCGAAGGGAAGTTGTGGGTTTGAATGTCACTTTTGTTCCTGCCTTGTTAGGAATTCTACGTGAAGGTTTAGAGGTTCCTTATCTGTATATTTTAAATTCCCTCTTCTTGATATCGTTATCTTTCTGTGTATGTTTGTTATTCATATTGCTCTTATTGTTTGCTACTTCGGTTTTTATCACTTTCAACATACCATCTAACTAATTATCAAGTGTCAAAGCTTCTTTCATATGTCTTACTTCGTGTAGAAGATTTTATGTGGTGCTATTTAGATATTTTTTCCAAACACTTTAACATTTCACTGACATGGAATAAGAAGAAGTGAAATCCAAATATCGGTCTAAATGTTCTGCTTAAAGACGCGTTTCTAACACATTTTGCAAACTGGTTAGCAATTTGTCATGTATACAGTTGGAGGAGTGAAATTTCCACCAAAGTTCCCTTTGGAAACTGTAAAATTATTCAGATCACAATCTGTGATCTGCTTCATACCATAAAAGATAATCAAGAAAGCAAGCAAATTTACATAAAACTGTTTACCTACTGGTTGATTAAGGTGGATAGTTATATACTACGGCTGGTGAGCTCGGCTCCAGACGAGCAAAACGGCTATCCATTGTTTAGAACATCTGGATCTGACCAGCAAGCACCACTGGTTGATATATGCGGCATACAACTAACCATTTCAATCCGATCAGCAGTATACTGTTTCGTGTTTAACTTCCCATTTTGTTTACTTTTTATAATGCAATAGAAAGTCCTCTTGATGACTTTCCAACTCATAAGTAAATAGAACTTCTAGGCAAATAAGTAAAACAGAAAAGAAGTGAAGATTTAAAGGTGAACTAAGCGAGTAATCTTGTTCTTATGCCTTTTTTATTTCTACTATATGCTACCCTGTGTATGCAAAACTTTAGAAATCATAGTGATTCAATGAATATCTTATTAAAAAGCTGCAATACAATGTGACTGGGACAACGTTCAAATATTAGACAGAGGAAACACCAAGAATGCTAGAGAATTTTTAGAAGCCTGGTATTCCAGTGAGTCCTCAATCAACAGATACATTGACATAGACAAAATTTACCAGTCGATAAGAAGAAGATCTCACACAAACACAAAGGTTCAAACTTCAGGTCAAGGAAACAATCAGTACCAATACAAGTAGAAACAACCAATCACGTTCAATATCATCCACCAGGAGAGATGACTAATAAACTCGTGGCGAAATCTAAAAACTCACTTCAAATTGAAATATGCACTGAAAATGTTGCCCAGTAGGGCAATGATGAAAGCTTCGTAAATGAATCATCCAGCTCAGAGAACACAACTACATCAAAAGAAAGTGTGAAAAATCAATACACAATTTGCAATTACGAAAATATCCATACGTTTTCATCTTTATTTTGTGTAGTAGATTTAGGCCCAAAAAACAATGACATCTTTTATTGGTTGGAGGATTTCATCATGAGCTGATATCAGTTAGAGAACCATTGTAAAACCTGGGAGTACTGAACAGATATTTCGTCCTAGTTTGGGACTCTTCACAGCACGCACCCACTAGGGGTTCTAACCAGGACCTTCTGGTTACAAGGCAAGCTCGAACCGGGTTAGAACCCCGGTGGATGCGTACAGCTATCCAGTACTCCCTGCAGGTTTTCCAGTGGTTCTCTAACTGATGTCAGCTCATGATGAAATCCTCTAACCAATCAAATAAAATCCCTACAAAACCAATACTTCAAAATGACATCTTTTGTTTAAATGACTAGTATATATAGATATATCTTTTCAAAGAATTTAAAGTGGAACCTTATAAACTGAAAAAAATGTTTTTCTTTCTTCCGATGTTTTCCCGTATGTAGGTGGTTAGACAGTTGTTAACACTGAATGAAGCCAAACAGCATGGTGTACATGAACTGGATACTTTGAGATCAGATTATAAGCGTATTGTTACGCCAACATCGTATAAAGTCTCTGTTTCAGATGAACTGTATCAATTTACTCAAGAATTATGGCTTAGTATGACGCCTATTGGTGAAATTAGTTAATATTATTTATGTAATTTATTATTTTACTATTAATTCACTCTTTTTTACTATCAAAGTTGTACTATAGTCTCTACTTTATTCTTAATGTATATTCTATGATTAAGCAAATAGTAATTATTAAAAAAAAAGTATTTACACAATATGATTGAATACTTTTGAAAGATTTATAGACGTATATTCCTAAAAACATTTTCTCTTCTTGATTTCTTCCTAATAAATACTATTTATTGGAGTTGTTTTTTTGCAATCAAATAATATTATTATTGTTCCCTTTAATTCCTAGAGGAACATAGGGCTTCAGCCGTGCGTCTCCATTGTGTTCGGTTCTCTGCTAGAGTCTTCACCTGGCTCCAAGTCTGCCCACACATTTTCATCTCCTCTTCACATGACCTCCTCCAAGTCACCCTTGCACTGACGACCAACTCGCCGCTTCCCTTTCGGGTTCCACTCGAGCAATGGCTTGTCTAGTGATGTCACTTGATGGTTTCCTCAGAGTATGGCCAATCCATCTCCATTTCTTCCTGCCTATTTGTTTCACAATCGGTTCCTGGTTGGTTCGCTCCCAGAGATCCCTGTTGCTGATCTTTTCTGGCCATCTGATCTTGAGTATTGAGCGAAGACAACTGTTGATGAAGGTCTGTAGTTTGTTTGAGATGCTCTTTATGACGCGCTGGCCAAGTCTCTGATCCGTATAGTAAGTAGCACTGACTTCAGATTGGAGTTGAAAATCCGGATCTTATTTTTCATGCTGAGTGCTGTTGACCTCCACACAGACTTGAGAGTAGTGAAAGCTTGTTTTGCTTTTCCGATTCTTGCTTTGATATCCTCGTCAGTTCCGTTCGCCTGTAGTTGAAACGATGCTTCCCAGGTAGGTAAAGGAGGTTGTTTCTTTCAGGTTCCTCCCATTTATGCTGATTGTTGTCTGTTGTTGTTGCTGTTGGTGGTGTTGCCCAGGAATTTTCATCACCTCTGTTTTCTCTATGTTCACCTGAAGTCCTATCTTTCTTTGATGCTTCTTCTGCCAACTTGTTGCTTTTCGCTTGCATATCTTCCAGTTTGTGGGAAATCAGACATATATCATCGGCGAAGTTCAGCTCTTCCAAGTTTTTTGTGTGGGTCCATTTTATGCCTGTTTCCTGTAAGTCTTCTATCCTTTTACATTATATCTTATTATTTTTATTCATGTTTAGGCCAGATTTCGGACTTAGCTAGCTTCATGCTTACTATGCTAGGGCACTTAGGGCCAAGACTTGCAATTTTCCTTAGGGAGGCCAGGACCTAGAGAAGCTATATACCAATGGATAGCCCTCAATGAGATCTATCGACTACCACCAGTCTCAAGGACACATAGCTTCTCCTCGGCCGACTAGGGATTTTCAAAGACTAGGGAGGATACTCTGTCTCTTGGCCTGTAGGTCATGCTACAGGCGTAGCTCCTGACACTTTTAGCTCCGCAACATTAGGTTGTATGCTATGGCATAGGTCTGTAATAGGCAGCATCAACCTCAGGGACACCAGAGAGGCGGGAACGGCTACGCAGGGAAACCCCGGTATTTTCCTTAGGAAGAGCGTTGACCCCTTATATACCATTGGATTCTGCTCGACGAGAGGAATCTATTGGTACTAGTCTCGTCTCTGTAGGGCTTACGGTTGCGGAGACATGGTAAGGTAAGTAAGATAAGGTAAGTAATATAAGTCCACCTTAGGGAGACAACCCTTAGGGAACATCGCTCTAGGAGAGGAGATAGTTCCCACCAGGAACTATCAAACACAATACTGGGTAGATGGAGCTCATAAGTCCAGAAAGACAGTCCATCTTCGGGAGACAACCCTGAGGAAAAATCGGTCTTGGATAGGAGATGGGTGCCACCAAGACCTATCAAACCCAATACTGGGCAGATGGAGCTCATGAGTCCTGAAAGACAGTCCATCTTCGGGAGACAACCCTGAGGAAAAATCGGTCTTGGAGAGGAGATGGGTGCCGTCAAGACCTATCAAACCCAGTGTAATGCTATGATGAGAACAATATCAGTAAACGCCATGCCGGATCGGTCGGGGCCCGGTTTAACAACGACCGCGCTTTCTGCTGCCGTGTCACAGGGCAGAAGTGATAAGTTAGCTACTGAGACACACCGACTAATAAAACTCCCAAATGCTGACACAGTCATAGGAACATGGAATGTTCGAACGCTTTATGCCTGTGGGAAAGTAAAAGAACTGACCCATGAACTCAGTAAATACCGATGGGACATCCTAGGCTTATCAGAAGTTAGGTGGACAGGCTCGGGAGTAACAACTACAGAAGAGGGTCATAAGATATGGTACAGTGGGGACGAAGAGAAACACCAACATGGTGTGGGTTTCATCGTAAACAAAAAACAAGTTAACTCTGTAATAAGCTGTAGACCCGTAAACAATAGAATCATTTCTCTACGAGTTAGGGCTCAACCACTTAACATAACAATAATACAAGTTTATGCGCCTACATCTGAATACCAGGACGAGGAAGTAGAATGCTTCTATGATGAACTAGAGGAGTGTATTAATGAGGCTCCGAAAAAAGACATTCTTATTGTCATGGGTGACTGGAATGCTAAGGTAGGTGAAGATGCATATGACCAATGGGCAGGCACAGCTGGACGTTTTGGATTAGGTGAAACCAATGAGAGAGGAATAAGACTGCTGGAATTTGCAAGCAGCCACAAGCTCACACTGGCCAACACTCTATTCCCTCATAAGACATCAAGGAAAACAACATGGCACTCACCTGACAACAAAACACATAGCCAGATAGACTACATTCTGTTCCCAGCAAGATTCAAGTCAAGCATTAACAAGGCTAAAACCAGAACTTTTCCTGGAGCAGACATAGGCAGCGATCATGACATGGTTTTAATGACTATAAAATTAAAACTAAAACAGAACCGCAGACAAATAAGCCCTCGAATCAGATATGACCTAGAGAAACTTAGGGACCCAAACATAGCAGAAATGTTTAAGGCAAATGTAGGGGGCAAGTTCGCTGCACTTACCTTGATTCACGACAATATCGATTCACTCACTGAAACCATTAAAACAGTGCTGCATGAATCAGCAACAGAAGTTCTGGGTAACAAAAGAAAGAAAATCAAACCATGGGTCACAGACGATATTTTAAACCTGTGTGATACAAGAAGAGAACTAAAAAAGAAGAAAGGACTTAATTCCCAGTACAGGGAAGAGTATAGAACAGTAGACAAAGAAATACGCTCCAAAATGAAGAGAGCAAAAGAGGGCTGGATTACTGAACAATGTAATATCATCGATAATAGCTTAAGGGGAGGCAACAATAAAAAAGCATTCGAAACACTGAGTAAGCTGACCAATACGAAACTGAATAGAGCAACCGTAATTGAGGATGGTAAAGGCACCCTCTTAACAGAAGAAGCAGATATCCTTAGAAGGTGGACAGAATACTGTAAGGGACTCTACAATCATAAAATAAGCCCTAATTATAGCCTAATAAACAATTCATGCTGGGACAATAGGGAGATCGGTGATTCACCCATACTAGAGTCAGAAGTAGAGGAAGCAATAAAATCACTTAAGGGAGATAAATCACCAGGAATTGACAACATACCGGCAGAACTAATTAAACATGGTGGACCACAAACAGTTAAATGGCTGAAAGCAGCCTGTCAAAAAATCTGGCAAGAAAAAGAATGGCCTAAAGAATGGACTCAGTCACTAATCATTCCAATATTTAAGAAAGGGGACGCAAAGCAGTGCGAGAACTACAGAACAATAAGTTTAATCAGCCACCCAAGTAAAGTCATGCTGAAAGTAATATTGAACAGACTCAAAAAGAAAGTAGAGGAAATACTCTCAGAAGAACAGGCCGGATTCAGGCCGGGCAGAAGCACTGCTGAACAAATTTTTAACATAAGGGTACTAAACGAAAAATGTCTACAACACCAAAAAATGCTAGTACACAACTTTATCGATTTTAAGAAGGCCTTTGACCGTGTGTGGCACGAAGGCTTATGGCAAGTCATGAATAACTACAATATAGATAAAAACATAATTGAGGTTATTAAGTCTTTATATAACAAATCTAGTAGTGCAGTATCTCTAAATAATCAAACTGGCGAGTTCTTCAGAACAACTATAGGAGTACGCCAAGGGTGCATTCTCTCACCAGTCCTCTTTAATTTATTCCTCGAACATATTATGACACAAACCCTACATGACTTTACACCGACACTTAGCATAAACGGAAGACCAATTTCCAACCTCAGATTTGCTGATGATATAGCCCTCATTGGGGAAAACATTGATCAAGTTCAGGACCTCACCTCAAGACTTGATGTTGCAACCAAATCTGTGGGCATGGAAATCAGCACAGAAAAAAGCAAAATACTCATTAACGGAGGAAACAACTCAGATAGATGTATCAGACTTGATGGACATGTATTAGAAGAGGTTGAAACTTTCAAATACCTTGGGTCTACCCTAACAAAAGATGGAAGGTCCACTAAGGAAATAAAAATTCGACTAAACCTAGCCTCTGCCACCATGTCCAAGTTAGGGAAAATATGGAAGAGCAACATCAGCGTCTCAGCAAAAATGAAACTCTACTCGTCACTGGTCCTCTCTGTATTCCTATATGGATGTGAGAGCTGGACCCTGAATGCAGAGACAGAAAGAAGAATACAAGCCTTCGAAAACAAAAGCTATAGAAGGATCCTAGGAATAAGTTACCTTGAAAGGAAAACTAATGAATATGTCTTACACCAGGTCCATAGACTGGCAGGAAAACAGGAACCACTCCTTTCAATCGTAAAGAAACGGAAACTACAATGGTTCGGCCACACGGTAAGACATGACACATTGTCCAAAACGATTCTACAAGGCACAGTAGGAGGAGCACGAAAGAGAGGTCGACCGAATAAGAGCTGGCTTGACAACATAAAAGAGTGGACTGAAATGCCCTTGGATACGCTACAGAAAATAGCATTAAACCGAGAAGAATGGCGAAGACTGATAGCGCGAACTGTCATAGCACCCCCACGACGAAAGTCAAGGGACTGATGATGATGATGATTCCTCATTGCCCGCTGTTTGTCGCATCAAATGATATATTCGTAGGATATGTTATAACTAGACCATTGTAGCATGTTTGATCAAATAAATGTCCCCTTTTCCAGTGTTGGTTTCCACGAATTCGATTGAATTCAGCTAAGATCACAAA